TAGTCAATACCAATGGATAAAAATTCAGTCACTATAAGCAAGCCCTGGGGTAGGGACTCTGTCATTACTTTCGACTCTCCTTTTTAGGAACTCAAAAAATAGATGTTAAATATAAGGCCTTACCTTAATTTAATCAGTAGGAAGATAGAAAGTCCTTTTATTTGTTTTTCCCTTCTTTAATTCTATTTAGAATTTTTTTTTTTTTTTTGAGACAGAGTCTTGCTTTGTTGTCCAGGCTAGAGTGAGTGCCGTGGCGTCAGTCTAGCTCACAGCAACCTCAAACTCCTGGGCTCAAGCGATCCTACTGCCTCAGCCTCCCGAGTAGCTGGGACTACAGGCATGTGCCACCATGCCCGGCTAATTTTTTTATATATATATATCAGTTGGCCAATTAATTTCTTTCTATTTATAGTAGAGACGGGGTCTTGCTCTTGCTCAGGCTGGTTTTGAACTCCTGACCTCGAGCAATCCGCCCGCCTCGGCCTCCCAGAGAGCTAGGATTACAGGCGTGAGCCACCACGCCTGGCCTAATTTAAATTTCAGTTCACTTTAAGGCCAGAGTCATTGACTATAATGAAAGCATAGCAGACATTTTTTATCCTCTTTAATTACATAATTTTCTCTGATGGCATTTTAATGTAGTACAAGACAATATTAACTCTTCATAATTATGTGTCACAGAGATGGCACCACTGATCAAAGTAAAATGTTAAAAGGTTGACTCAGCTCTGGAAAATAAATTTTAAAATCTCTGTCAATTACCTATAGACATTACACAGAATCAAAAGCTGTGATGATTATGATCAGTGGCTTTTACTATTTCCTATCAATTAGGGTTATACTACATTTAAATTTCTACCATTCCTGTTATTAAATCCATAAATCTATTAAAGAAAATAAAAAGAAGAAACAAAAATTCAAGGAAAAGAATAAAATAGTATTTAGATCTAGTCAGCAATAACCTAATTTTTTGTTTACCAAATTATAACAATGAAATAATAGCATAATTTACTATGGAATTTTGCTTTATTAGCTCTCCAACTATGTGTCTCTTAAAGTGTTCATTTATTTACAAGATGGCCAGGTCCCATTCTGTTAAGTGACAGCCTTTAATATATACAAATGTAGCCTCAATACTGAAAGAAACTATACTCTCTACAAATAGAATGAGAAGTAATAGATTTATTGAGTAAAAAGTCATTTGTTTTTTAATGCACAAAACATACAATCAGATTGACATTTATAATGAAAGCTGGCAGCTCACCTAACCATTTTTGCAACAATCCTTTTTCTCCATTGGGTAAACCTTCAAAGTTGTAGCATTTTAAATTCAACAAACATAAAGCATAAAGATAAATAAGACAAGGCCCCAGCTCTCAGAAACTCCTAGTTGAGTAGGACAGACAAATCTAATTAAATAAATGGGAGTAGTGGTAATCTCAGCAATTCAGAAGGCTGAGGTGGGAGGATAGCTTGAGGCCAGGAGTTCAAGACCAACCTGGGTGAGAGAACAAGATCTCATCTGGGGGGCGGGGTGGAAATCTAAATAAATAATCAGTATAAAAGGTGTGCTGCTACTTGCTGTGAGAGATTGTATAAGAAAGTATGCAAGCAGAGAAAGCAACTCCTAGCTGTTTGCATGAGTCTTCACAGAGAAGAAAACACAAGGTGGGTGTTTTGCAGCAGACAGGAAGAAGGGACAAGAACACAAGTGAATAGTGAGGAACATGGGTCCTACCCTTTAACACCATCAAAGGAAGCAGGAGCTTGTCTATCCTATAGTGCCCCAAAGTGGAATGCAGAAGCAAAAGCCTTTACACAAAAGCCTTTAAACCTGCATGAAATCTAACAGCAGATACCAAACATGGTATCCTGACAAGGCAACAATATCAAATCAAGAAGAGCAAATCCAAAATTAGTCATTAATCAAAGCAACCATCCAGAAAATGTATGCGGAAATAAGTGGCCAAAATAAGGAACCCTCAGAACCAAGAATAGCAGGAGCGAGGAATAATGGAATGGGCTAGAAGTGGTGGTCCAGGTGAGTTCCAGAGTGGAGCGCAGAAACCTTCTGTGGCTTTTTATGCAATAGTGGGCTGGCATAGGTGAATCAGGCAGGGTCTTCTCCTGGGGTAAAATGGTGTGACCACCACCTACTTCTTAGGATTCCCAGATTCCCCACTTGATGGCCCAAATGTTGAGTGCAATTTTTTTGTCTTCTGGTTTCTTTTTAATTATTTTTAATTACACAGGTATTATATCTATACATTTTTATTGTAAAAATTGAAACAATTGAGATAAAGTTAAAATTCAACTTCATACCACCCAATCCCACTTTCTTTCCAAAAAAAGCAATTATTACTATCAGTTCAGCATATTTCCTTCTAAGCATTTTATGTACTTGCAAAAACATATGGCTATGCCTGTATCAAAATATCACATGTATCCTATAAAGAAGCTATACAACTATTACGTACCCATAATAATTAAAAATACATTTTTTTTAAAACATATGGTATTTGTTTTGAAACATAAATATTATCACTCTCTACAAATTGTTTTACATTTTCTTTTTTTTTTTTTTTTTTTTGAGACATGGTTTTGCTCTGTTGCCCAGGCTAGAATGCAGTGGCATCATCATAACTCATTGCAACCTCAAACTCCTAGGCTCAAGCAATCCTCCTGCCTCAGCCTTCTGAGTAGCTGGGACTACAGGTGCTCACTGCCATGCCTTGCTAATGTTTATGTTTTTTGTAGAGATACGGGTCTTGCTATCTTGCCCAGTGTGGTCTTGAATTCCTGGGTTCAAGAGATTCTCTCTAGCTTCCCAAAGTGCTAGGATTATAGGTATGAGCCACCCTGCCCAGCCTGTTCTGAATTTTTTTCATCGAATGCTGTGAGGGGTCAAGACATTGCATACCTGCAAGGCCCACACCCCCAGTGAAGCCGGAACTAACATCCGGCTTCTGGAAACTGTTGCTTGCTTGCCATGGAAACCGTTGCTTGCTTGCTTGTTTGCGCCAACTTTGCATTGTTCGAACCCCTGTATAGTGGGGCTGCCAGCCAATCAATCATGTTAAAGGTCAATGTATGATCCACGCGTGATCAGCCACTGCATAGCGTATGCACCATAGAGATAAAAGGCCCGCTGCAACCCCAGTCAGGGTCCTTGCCTGCAAGAGTGGCCACTGCGTTGGTGCTCTAGGGCTTGGACCCTGGCTAGCCAGAAAATAAATCTCCTCTTGTGTAATTACATCCTCGATGTCTCTGCCTTTCTGTCCGGTGGGGCTGTGGAAGGTCAGTCCCTAACAATGCTATATTGACAAAGAATAACTCAGAGATCTTTAGTTATTTTGCATGCTTTTTATTTCTTACATGAGGAGAATAGACATTAGGCTATCAAGGGACAAAGGCAAAAAACAAGATTTATAAGAGAAATAGAAAAGAAAACTGTAGGCATTATTACTGGGAATAGTTAAACTTTTTATCCATTTTCGATGTAAGCTACTTCATCGGCAGCTAGCTAAGAAGCCAGTCTGGACAGTTTGCCATTGAGTCAGCTTGCTGAGATCAATGGAGAAAATAATTTCAGTAGTTTATGAATTCTCCAGAAGACCTGAGTCCTTGTGGAGCACACAGGAGCAGCTGTTCCTGTGCACTAGCTACCATGTCCATTGTCTCCCCACCCTATCTTGCCTTTCATAGCCACTCTTCACCATCTTCCCTAATACCCTGAGCCACCAGGATCAGAAACCCTGGTGTTAGCCTTGATTCTTCCCTCTACATTGCCCATAATGGACTGCTTGTTTGTGCCCCCTCTCTCCAAATCCATGCGTTGAAATCCTAACTCCCAGTGGGATGGTGTTAAGAGATGGGGCCATTGGGAAGTAATTAGGTTGAGATGAGGTCTTGAGGGTAGAGCCCTCATGGTGGGATTAGTGTCCTTATAAGAGAAGAAAGAGACTGGAGCTGCTCTCTCAGCCATGTGATGATAAAATGAGAAGGTGGCTGTCTATAAGCCAGGAAGAGGACCCTCACTTTCTGAATCTGACAGCACCTAGATCTTGGCGTTCCAAGACCCCAGAACTTTGAAAAATAAATGTTTGTTATTGAGGCCACCCAGTCTATGGTATTTTTTATAGCAACCCAAGCTAAAACAGCCCCATTAGCTAAAATATCTTCCTGCCTATTTTTCTCCTAAATATTTCTCTAATCTTTCCTCTCCTAGTTAGGTTTTCATTGTTTCTTTTTTTTTTTTTTTTTTTTTTTTTGAGACAGAGTCTCACTTTGTTGTCCAGGCTAGAGTGAGTGCCGTGGCATCAGCCTAGCTCACAGCAACCTCAAACTCCTGGGCTCAAGCGATCCTCCTGCCTCAGCCTCCCGAGTAGCTGGGACTACAGGCATGCGCCACCATGCCCGGCTAATTTTATATATATATATCAGTTGGCCAATTAATTTCTTTCTATTTATAGTAGAGACAGGGTCTCGCTCTTGCTCAGGCTGGTTTTGAACTCCTGACCTTGAGCAATCCGCCCGCCTCGGCCTCCCAAGAGCTAGGATTACAGGCGTGAGCCACAGCGCCCGGCCATAGGTTTTCATTATTTCTTGCCTAAAGAATGATAACAGTGTCTTAATTAGTTTTCCCCCTTCAAATCTATCTTCTACCCATCTGTCAGATCTACTTGCTTAGAAATTCAAATAAGATCATTCCACTCTCCAGCTTAAAATCTTTAATAGGTCCCAATGGCCTACTGAACAAATTAAAACCTTATTAAAATGGCAAAGTCCTCCAAGTACTGGCTTCATCCACCTCTCCAAACTCATCTTTACCCACACTTTATGCTCCAGCAGCACTCAACCATTTATCCATGGCATATCTTGTGCTATTCCTCAGGTCCATGCCTCTCCTAATGCCATCCCTTTGCCTGGAATTCACAAACCCTCACTCTCCTTTCCTGGGAGTAAAAGAGCCCAAGTGAATTGTTAAAATAGTCACTCACTTTTATGACACTCTTTCCAGAAACTGGGTGGCTGTACAGAGTTTTCTGATCCTTCACTCCTTCTGTTCCTTCCACTCCTTTTTCCTGGTAGGAATCTTTCCCCAAAATAAGGCAAAAAGTTTTTCTATGATAGCCTATAAATATGGGCAATATTGGAATAATCTGAAAGACCTCAGCCCATAGCTAGGAGAACTTGAAGGAGCCAATGTCATGGACAGTGTTCTCAAACTTGACCTTACAGAGCATCACCAGGATGGAAACAGCACCGAGGGTGGGTGCAAAGGGATAGGACTGGGGTAGGCAGGAGAGAGAGAGAGGTAGAAAAAATGAGGAAAGGAAACCAGAGAGAGTGAGAACTCCAAGATGCCCATCTGAGGCAACCTGATAGGAAAGAAATAATGTTTTCATCATTCTCTGTGCTAAATAAGTGTGCTAATATATATATATATATATATATATATATTTTTTTTTTTTTTTTTTTTTTTGAGACAGAGCCTTGCTCTGTTGCCTGGGCTAGAATTCCCTGGCATCAGTCTAGCTCACAGCAACCTCAAACTCCTGGGCTCAAGCAATCCTTCTACCTCAGCCTCCCGAGTAGCTGGGACTACAGGCATGGGCCACCATGCCTGGCTAATTTTTTGTATATATTATTTTTAGTTGTCCAGCTAATTTATTTATATTTTTAGTAAAGACAGGGTCTTGCTCTTGCTCAGGCTGGTCTCAAACTCCTGAGCTCTAGTGATCCACCTGCCTCAGCCTCTCAGAGTGCTTGAATTACAGGCGTGAGCCACCACACCCAACCAAGTGTGCTAATATTGTTTTCTTTTAACAGTGATACCTGCAACACTTCCAGACACTGCAGGGCTTTCACAGGATTACATACCTGTTGTCTCATAAGTTCAACTACAAGTTCATGGGCTCATACTTTCTATCTTTCTTTGTCTATTCATTACTCATTTATTCCATCTCCCTTGTACTTTGGGCACTAGAGTTGAAATCCTTCTTTTTCCCTTTTCCTTTTCAAATCCTATAGTATCCTCCAAGAGGTCAAAAAAATAAAAAGATTCTGAGGTCAGAGGCAATGGAACTTACTGACTAAAGGTGGAAAAACATGGCCCAGTGGAGGAATGTATGGAGAAGATTTTATGAATTCCTGGAACTTACCCATCCACCCTAACCATCACCCCCTCGACATATATACACATTCACAGACTCACCTTTTCTCAACAAATTAGCTAAAATTAATGTCAACTACCTATCTCCATCCCTACAAAGTTATTTATATCTACATCTAGTTCCAAAGGGGAAGGTATCCCTCCCGCAGTGTGAGACCAATTTTTCATCTGTCTTCTTGCTGTGATGCCATAGTTGTTCCATCTGCCCTGTCTCTCCACCTTTAGGCAACCTAAGCACCAATTGAACTAAACTGCTTGTAATTCCCCAAATGTGCAAGCTCTCTCGTGCATGGATACCTTTGTTCACAGTGCTTCCCTTCCTGCAGTGACCCTCCAGCCCCCCCCCACACACTGAATGCTGCTGAACTCGTGATCAGGATCCCATTCAAAGGTCTTCCATGCAACTCCTAGTAGAATCAGCCATTCCCTCGTTTCCCACTGTGCACTGTGCACTCTGCATCCTAAGATCTGTGACTTTTTACTGAACCTATTGTTTTACATGTCTATCTCTTCCCATTACTCTCTAAAACTTAGAAGGCTTTTATATTGCCTTTACTTGCTTCTGTATTGTCAGCAATGTCCAGAACGTAGCAGGCATTTAACCCTTTGCACTCGGATGTCAAGTGTGGATAATGTCGAGTGGATAATGAGAAAAAGCAAGCAAGTGCAAAGGGTTAAATACCTGTTGTGAATGAATAAATGATAAAACAGAAGAATACTCTTTACCAAAACAATACACATATACATATGGGATAAAATGAGATAGAAGCATAGCACTTGACCTATATGAACCTCATGTTTACCACCATCACTCATCCAGTCCCCAAGTGTGGAAGCATGACAAGGAACACCTGAGTGAGGAATAAAAGGAAGAAGAAACGGAAGCGAGTGACATTGTGGAAATTAGACAAGCCAGTCAGCCAGAGGACATGAATGATATATTCCTAATAGAAGTCACAAAAGTGGCACAAGACTATGACGCAGTGCCTGGCCATAGCAGCACACGTAACTCGTCTGAGAAGGGAGTGGAGTGCTTCCTTAGGAGCCTAAGAATTCAGACCTGCTGCTTTAGTATACTTTGCCTGGTTTTACCTTGGACTTATAATGATCTGATTTACCTACTTCTTGGTAAATCTAGTTTGGCTTCTAACATATCAAAATCAGAGTTTTTTTCGTGCTCTGATCCTGGCCCAGCCTTGCCTCCCCTTCTTTCACTGCTCATCTGACGCTCTTGCTCCAGCCTCTTAACTACCAACTGCAGGGCTGAGTACGATCACACTGATTTTCTGGCGCTTAGGAAAGTTGCTAGGTAACCAATCACTGTCAGCTGCTTTCTCAAACAGCTAACAGGCTCTTCTCTGCTGCCCTCAGTGGCCAAGTTTGCTCTTCTCTGGCCAAAATGAAGTATTTTCTTTTAAGATGTTGGCAAGAATTCTCTAAAATCAGAGCACTGGATAAATTCTTGGTCTGAATACTAATAATGTTACCCCTTGGAGTGCAAAGGAAGCAACAACCAGAACTATTTCTCTTAACCCCAATCAATAAGAAAAGTTGATGTGGCTGGGCGCGGTGGCTCAAGCCTGTAATCCTAGCACTCTGGGAGGCCGAGGCAGGCGGATTGCTCAAGGTCAGGAGTTCAAAACCAGCCTGAGCAAGAGCGAGACCCAGTCTCTACTATAAATAAAAAGAATTAATTGGCCAACTAATATATATAGAAAAAATCAGCCAAGCATGGTGGTGCATGCCTATAGTCCCAGCTACTCGGGAGGCTGAGGCAGTAGGATTGCTTGAGCCAGGAGTTTGAGGTTGCTGTGAGCTAGGCTGATGCCACGGCACTCACTCTAGCCTGGGCAACAAAGCAAGACTCTGTCTCAAAAAAAAAAAAAGAAAAGAAAAGTTGATGAATCCAGAGATAGAAAACTTGAGAGAAACAGATGGTGTTTCTCTCAAGACCATGTTATGGGCTGGGTGCAGTGGCTCATGCCTGTAATCCTAGCACTCTGGGAGACTGAGGGGGGAGGATCCCTTGAGCTCAGGCGTTCAAGACCAGCTCTGAGTGACAGCAAGACCCTGTCTCTACTAAAAATAGAAAAATATTAGCCAGATGTGGTGGTGTGTGCCTATTTTTTAAATATATATATATTTTTCAAAAGACTATGTTATGGTAGCCAAGGAAGAGGCCACATTTTTTAATTAGACATATTTTTACTCTACTTTTAAAGTGTCTATTTGAAAAAGTTTGGCCCAGTGGTTCTCAAAGTGTAGTCCATCAACCAGTAGCATCAGCATTTCCAAGGAACTTGTTAGAAATGTATTTTAAGGCTCACTCCAATCTCCCTGATTCAGAATCTCTGGGATGGGGACCTAGTAATCTGTGTTTTAAGGAACCTATCAGGTGATTCTGATGTAAGTTATAGTCTGACAATCACTGGTTTTGAGAAGAGATTGATGTGATTCCACAAACAAAGACTCTCAGACAACAGCTCTTAGGTTCCTAAGAATCACCCTGTGCTTGTTTAAATGTAAATTGCAGGGCCCCTCCCCCGGATAATCTGATTCAGTGAGTCCAAGAAATCAATCACTTTCTCACTTTCTTCTTTCTCTGTTTTCTTCCTACCTTACTGGGCACTCAATCCCAATTTCCTTTACTGAATTCACCTGTTCTTCCCAACCTGCAAATACTAGCATGCCCTAAGGCTCACTCTTCAGAACTTTTCTCTTTTCCATCCATGCTCACTTACTAAGTGCTAGTGATTCCAATGTATATCTCCAGAAACATGCATCAAACAGATATCTCTACTTGGATATTTTAATGACATCTAAAATTTAATATGTCCAACACTGAACTCTCCAATTTTCCCATCCCCATAGATGCCACCACTTCTAGCTTCTCAGGCTATAACACTAGGAATCCTTCATCTTTTATTTTTTTTAATCTCACCCAAATTCAATCTTTTAGCATATCTTTTTTAGCCTCTCTCTTCCTTTAAAATATGTTCTACATCTATTTCTAACCTCCTTCACCACCACTCTACTCCAGGCCACCAGCATCTCTTCCCTGGACAACTGTGACAGCCTCCTAATTGGCCTCCCTGATTCTCTCCCTTGCACAAATGTTTCAGTGCCTCTTTGAAAACGTAATCTAGAGCATGTCATTACTCTGCTCACAACCCTCTACTGGCTCCTCTTTTCACTTGTGTTCAGCCTCACCAGTAAGTAGGATTCAGATCTAGTTTTAATATCCAAAACGACCTGGGCATATGCGTTTCCATAAGTAATCTGGCTGTGCTAGCCTCTGTTTCGGTTTCACTGGCCCAATTTGTGCTTCTAGGCTTTAGCCTGGGTCTCCCTCCCTACTGTTCTACAGAGACATTGGAGACCTGATAACTTTTGTAATTCATTCTAAGCTTCTTCTCTGGGATACTTGATCTTATTTCTCATATCTCGGTTATTGGCTAGGGTTTTCATGACCAAAATGATTTTTTTGGAACCACCCTGGCACTTCATCTGAATTCAAATACTGCCTCTGGTCTAAGTCTTCTATTCCTCCTCTATTGGACAATGGAGATTACTTTGTGTTGAGATGCCAAAACCAAGGTGGAGGAGAGGAGTGGGAGATGAAGACTGAAGTATCAGAAGATGCAGTATGGGCACGTTCATGTTCAGGAATAGTCCAGTTGAGGGTCAAAAAATAGAAGCATACTATACTTTGGACAACAAATTACCCATCAGGAGGGTTATTTCTATAGACTGATCAATTCTGCATGGAACTGTGCAGAACTATCTTCCTCCCTTTACCCACTGCCTTTTTGCTTGAAATTGAGTGTGTTTTACAGCCAAGCGTGTTTCAATTATACCTAATAGATAATATATGAGC